GAATAAACTTTTTAATTCGAATTAAAGGTCAACTGTATTACGAATAATTCGAATAAGAATTTGTATTACGAATAGAAACCCTAGCGTAACATAAAAAATAAAACTAACATATAGATAATTCAAGCAATAGTAAATAAATAAATAACATTTCTAACTATCATTTATCATTAATACTGTAATAAAATGAATAAAGGTGTAAGCCGAAAAAATTTTGGTCTTTGTATAGTATGTGGTAATCAAGATATATATTATATAAACTCTATATTATACGTTGTTAATTATATCAATATAATTGGATTTTGGTGGAAAATAAGCTGTGAAATCAATCCCCTTGTCGATCTAATCAGCCCCGGCGAAAGAAAGAAAAATTTTAGAAGAAATTTTAGACAAGTAATAAAAATAAACGAATTATTATTTTCTAAAAAATTGAAATGTTGCGTGCATGATTTTCATTGGTTAATTTCACTTGACCAATGATCGGATTTTTATCTATGCTTAAAATAACAAAGCAACCAAAAATAGCTTAATAGTGATTTCACGATAACATCGATATTGGCCGTTGTGCGCCCAATATCTTATACTTGTGGTGATTTTTCTGATGATGATAATAATAATATAGTGGTGCTGATGACAGTGAAAAGATAATTTTTGACAATAGGAATCATGGCATTTCTGATGACGAGTATTATCATATATAATTGTAGAAGTTGGACCGTTGAATAAAAAAATTTATATCATGGGGTATTTAAATGACAACAAACCCTAGATAAAAATAATTTATTTAAAAATGGAACGTTATTTGAACACATAATTAAATTCGGCAAGTTAATTATGATACAGATGCCAATGGCCAACCAAGTGAGTTTTTTTATTGATTATTATTAGATTAATGATGAATTTTATTAATTTTATTAAAATAAACAGAGTGGATTGAAGCCAAAAAGTCAAAAAAATTATCATACAGAGGACTGTATAGCAAAAATAATAAACAGAATCCTTTAGTTTAATAAAACCTCAACAAAATTATTAACACTTCTTTGGATTCCGAAAATAAAAATGATTTGTGAATATATGATTTTGTTGTAAAATTGTTATTGCCATCTTCTGGTAAAGAAAAAAACATGTTAAATTTGTGACAAGATGGAATAACAAAAGAAATACATCCTAGAACTGGCATTACAATGTCTACCGTCTATTAAAATTGAACGAAAAAGGTGATAATTCAAAAAAGTTATCCCAAAAAAATTATTGCGCACAAATCCAGGGCAATTGGTCAATATTTGCGCCATGATCCAAGACTTTCCACAAAACAAATTGTCAATGTCACCAAAGTGTCTCATATGACTATTTCAAGGCATTTGGCAAGTTTAGGCTACAAAATAGTTTGGAATTTAAAGACACATGTTTATTGTTGCTCATAAAGAAGCTCATGTTGGTTTGGTGCAAGAACAACTGTAACTAAACAATTAAAAACTTCCAATGTTAAGAAGTGGACACCCCAAACATTTGAGCATTGACCATAAGAACGAGTCGAAGAAAATTGTTAAAAGAAAATTGTAAATCTTCTGAGAAAATAAAAGTCCCAAATTTAATGAAAATACAGGTTTCAACTAAAGCATGACACTATTAAATCAAATTTTGGAGATAAAAAATTTCGCTTAAATATTCTGAGAACTTTTATTTACGATAAAAATCATTTATATTTTATTATGTACGTTTTTGCGCAATTGCTTTAGGTGATCGAAACTTTTGTCCAAGGAGTGTATCAATATACAAAGAAAGCTCAACATTTCAAGAGATTTTTAAGGAGAGGTTTTATTATTATACACAAATAGGTGTTATTCAAGAAGATATGCTATTTGTTAATAATGACCAGAGGTTTTTTTTATAAAATAGCCCAAATATTTTGATATTATAGCGAAGTGAAATTGATCATATCTTTATCCAACAACTTTTAAATTTCCCTTAGGTACACAGTGAATCTCGATTAGCGGACCTCGATACTAATTAAAATCTCTGTTTTACGGATGAAGTTCAAAGAACGGTTCCATAATAAATCTTAATAAAAACCTTCTCGATATAGTGGATACCTCGGTTTAACGGATTTTTGGAAAATTGCCCAAACTATCCGCTAAATCGAGATTCACTATGTATTTTCTGATCACCAATTGGTTTACTTGGTGGTGCATGTTTTTTCCATGTTCCACTAGACTAATTATCTTTTTTCGACACATCATAGACCGATTTTTATAAGTTTGATAATAGCAAGTATAGTAAAAACTAAAAAAATAATATATTGATTGATTTTATATGTAAATGTTGCACATTATCCCTTAAACGTACAGGGATTTTTGGTCCAAATTTGTGTAGATCTTCCGAGTAAATTCAATCCCTCTTTAAAT